GAAGGAAGGAAGGAAGGAAGGAAGGAAGGAAGGAAGGAAGGAAGGAAAGAAAAGGAAGGAAGGAAACAAGTGGGTTGCAGGTACAGTTCAGTTGGTAGGCTTCTAGCGTGCTTGAAGCCTGCCCTCATCCCCAGTGCCACATGAAACTGGACATGCTGGTCCCAAACCCTTGGGAGAACCAGAAGCAGGTGGATCAGAAGTTCAAGGTACATAGCAAATACTAAGTCAGCCTGGGCTCCAGGAGACCAGAGTCGGGGGAAGACTATGGAATTGTGTTTCCCTTAGTTTAGGGACTGTGTCACTTTGCCCTGGATGACTTGATCAACAGAAATGAATTTTGCTCCTGCGTAGAAATCCAGAAGCAAGCAGCCAGAGGCACCCAAGTTCTGGGTAGCCTCCTGCAGCCTACTGTGTATGACCAGTATCTCCCAGACTGGCCACGACAGATGCTGCAGCTCCGGCCCCCGTGTCCCCGCCCTGTTCACAGGGGAAAGACAGAGGACAGCGGAAGGGCAGTACACACCCTCTCCCTTTGAGGACACTTCGTGAGCATTACACACAACACCTCCGCTCACAAGCTGCCTGCCGGAACTGACCTTACAAATACACCAAGCTGCAAAGAAATCTTTGCTCTGAGTAGGCTCGCGTCCGCCTTCAAAGAGGGGTGTCTTACCACTAAGGGTCCAGGTGTGGTGGCTCACGCCTGCACTCTGGGGTAGCTGGGGCAGGAGGATCCCTTCAAGGCCAGTCTAGCCCGCTGTATAAAAAGGGGGTAGAGGGAGCTGGAGAGCCGGCACATACTACTCCTCCAGAGTTCGATTCCCAGCAGCCATCTTCAGTGTTCCAGCACGTAGGTTAGCACCCAACTGGCTCTTGAGAAGCCACACCATCCTGCCTGGCCCAAAGGGGAAGGAGACAAGCTGTAAAGATGGTTGAGCGTTTGAGAACACTGATTACTCTTCCAGATGACCAGGGTTCCGGTCTCAGCACCACGGCAGCTCACAACTCTCCTTCAGGGGATGCGGTGCCCTCTTCTGGCGTCTGTGGGCATTGCATGCACAGGGTGCACAGACCTACGTACAGGCAAAACATGCACACATATAAAATTCATTTTTTTAAGAAGTTGGAAAGCGAGGAAAAGCAATCAACACTGACCTCTGACCTCCACATACACATACATGTGCACATACATACAATGGACATACTACCCTAACATGTACATACACATTAAACGCCACGCCCACAAAAATGTTCCATCTTTTATGAAGATTTCTAGGAAACATAATCAAATTAACTCTTGACAGCTACTTGGGAGGCTGAGGCAGAAAGATCTTGAATTCAAGACCAAACTGGGGGGCTACAGATCAAGTCCCATAATATAGACACAGATAAAACTTTCAAGTGATAAAGAATATGGATTAAACTTTAAGAGCAAGACTATCATGCTAGGGTTGGCGTTTTGATTTTTTTTTTCTTTTTGATGGTGTGTGTATGTGTTACTGGGAATTGAACCCAGGATTTCCTGCACACTAAACCAAGTGCTTTGCCATTGAGCTAGTACGATGTTTTAAAGTAGCCGGAAGGCTTGTGGGTGGGGTAGCAGTGGAAGCCACTTTGATGGTCTGTGGGTTTAGAATTTTGAATACTAAAAGAGAGCATTCAAGTCTAGATTGAGGTCATTATCTCCATCTTCCGGCCTAAAAGGGGATCGGCCTTCAACTCGGGGCATGAAGCATGCCATCAGTGTGACTGTGACAGGAACTGTTCGTGGAGTCTTCCCAGCCGGGCCCCTCTCTAATATGCAGCAGCCGAAGGAGCTGCTTCAGGAACAGACAGAAGATAGACCTTGCTCTCGGGTGCTCTTGTGCAATCACAAAGCCCCAGCTCAGGCCTGTCGATCACGTGGCTTCCCTAAAGAGGACTGGGCACTGGCCACAGGTGCACAAAGGTCGGACTTTTTCTGCCAGATCTGAACAAGGAAAAACAACTCGTTTTCACCCTGCCGCTTATTTGTAGCGTGGCTCTCGGTTCTCTTTAACCCAACAAGTTCCTTCTGGGAACGTATCCCACGGCCATCCTTGGCGCACATGCCAAGAGATATGAACACGAGTGTAGATAGGGATCTGGATAGGAAAGGATTGGAGACAAACTGAGTGGCCAGCCATGCCACCTTGCAGAAGGGGGAGTGGAGAACAGTCGTCGTGATGGGGCAGGCCTGTAACCTCCAGCACCCAGGAGGATCGCCATGGATTCTTCTCAACCAGCCCTGCCTACGGATTGAGTCACGGGGCCGCTGGGTTACAGAGTGAGACCTTGCCTCAAACGACCATGCAGAGTAGACTCATACACATGTGAAATACTTCTAGCAGGAGAAGGAACAATACCGTTGACCCCCAAGGACAGGAAAACTACCTGACTAGGAGACAGGGCAACAGGAAAATATCTTACTCCCTTTCGTAATCCTATCTTTTTTAAGTTTTTATTTTCAGCTGGGCAGTGGTGGCACAGGCCTCTGATCCCAGCACTCAGGGAGGCAGAGGCAGGAGTATCTCTGTGAGTTCGAGGCCAGCCTGACCTACAAATTGAGTCCAGGACAGCCAAGGCTACACAGAGACACCCTGTCTCAAAAAAAAAAAAAAAAGTTTCTATTTTATTGACTTTACATTATGGGGGTTGTGGACATGAGAGTAGGTGCCCATGGAGGCCAGAAGAGGGCACTAGACCCCTGAAACTGGAATGGTGAGTGACTGTCAGCCAGCATGTAAGTGTTGGGAACCAAACCCAGGTCTCCTGAAAGAGCAGCAAGTGTCCTTGACCACTGAGCTAAACCTCCAGACTTCTCTGTACCCCTCTTTTTTTTTGAGATATCTTATACAGCTTAAGCTGGTCCCCGACTTGCTATGTAACCAGGATGGCACTGAACTTCTGCTGCTCCTGCCTCTACTGCCCACTTACCAGGGTGACAGGTGTACACGGCCATTTCCAGTCCACACTTCCCTGCATATGAGAGGCAAGCACTTGCCCAGCCGGGCTGCGCCTTCCCACGCTTCTACGTTCTGAATTGTAAAAGAAAATGTACGTTTTTCCGTCCTTCAGGGAACACATTCTCCTCGATGTCCTGCCTGGATGAAGGGACGCGCCCTGGAGAATGCCCATTCCCCGCCCCGGCCCTGGATTCTTCTCTCTGCCAAGCAGGCCCAAACTCTTCTGCTTCGTGTGACTTTAAGCCACTCGCAAGACAAGTAGGAAGAGGACGGCCCGTCATATCTGTTCCTAAAGCAGCTCGCTTCTAGCTCGTTGCCCTTGCCAAGCCGTGTCCACACACCCACATCTGCCTTTTCTGCAAGCTTGCCACAAAGACGGCAGCGAAGGAAGTCCTGGGAGGAGGAGTTGCTGGCCGGTTGTGGCTCTCAGAGCACAAATAAAGTTCGGATTTGTTTCTTTGCCATGTGTGATGGGGCTGAAGTCTTTTCTGACGTAGTATCGAGGGCCGGCAAGATGGTTCAGTGAGGGTAGCGGCGCCTGCTGCCAAACCTGATGACATGAGTTCGGTCCCCAGGACCTACACAGTAGAAGGGGAGAACACGCTAGCTGTCCTCTGACCACCACACTTGTACCACACACATGACTAGAGAGGTAGGTAGATGGTTGGATGGATGGATGGATAGATAGACAGACAGACAGAGAGACAGATAAGCAAATGTTTTAAGTTTTAAAGTCTGAATAGTGTCAAAATGCCACAGCTGGGCATTCTTACCATCTGCAAACTGGGAAGGCACAATCACAGTGAAAGCAAAACTCGGGAGGAGATTTTGATTGTCTTTCAGCACGGAGTCATCTATGGAACCCAGGACCGCTAGTGTTTGGTCAGCTCCTCAGACTCCCTCTGGTTGGCTACTTGGCTGTGCTCTCTTAGGTGAGGAATCCCTGAGACGGAGACAGAAGCAAGGCCCGGGAATCAGCACGTTGGAGAGCGACTCTGTGAGCACTGTGGCTGGCTGTGATGGAGTCCCACTTTGGGCCGAGGACGTGAGGGGGTTCTCTAATACGGGGCACCCTGCCCCCTCTCCTGTCGCCTGCACTTAGTTCTGCACACTGACGGGGCAACAAAACCGTGGTTGTGAGCACAAACCCCAGAGCTAGACAGCCTGGGAATAAATCTCATTTTCCCTTTTATGATGTGTTGGCATTTGGCACCTCCATTTCTTCAGTGAAGAAGGGCTCTGTTCTATCTCAGCAGGTCACTGGATAATTAGGGAGATGAAGGGGGCTGTCAAGTTCTGTGTACTTGGAGAAGTACCTGGCACGGGGTAGCTGCTCAGTGAGGACTTGGTCGATGTTGCCAGACTCTACGTGAGAAATTCTTCAAGACAGGGACCTGAGCAGCTATAGAAATTTTATACCCAAACTGCTTATTCGGAACAGCCCACGACTGGCAGAGGCCTTCCTCACCTCTGTCAGGGCCATATTGTAAGCAAGTTCCCATCTCACATTACCTCGGGAGGGAATCCAGACAGCACACAGGGATGTCGGCAGATTCCAAGTTTTTCAAAGCAGGAAAAAAAAAAAAAACAACTTATGCTAATTACTCACTTCCAGACCTAGGAACAAAAACGTGGAGATAATTCTGTGTATGATGGATAGAGAGGTAAAAAGGGACTGTTTCAGTCTGGGGTGGGAGGTGGTGTAGGTAGGGGGTGTCGCTAGGGAGGTATCCATCTAGAACATCCTGTTACCCAGGGTGCTAGAGGAGAGGGAACCACTAGGTGGCAGTCTACGAGCAGGTGAACCAGAGAGAACCAATTGCCTACAGCTTTAGAAACCTTTGCACCAATCCCAACCCACAAGTAAGAACAATGGGTATTGTTCAGCACTTAACACAGAACCCTCCTACGCCTGCCCATCCTTCCTTGGGAAACCCCCCAGAGCCCAATCTGGAAGACTAGGTGGTAAGAACAGGACTGTGGGACTACCCTTTGAGTCAAACCCCAGAAAGGGGGATTCCCCACCCCCAAAAAACGAAAGTACCTGGGCAGGGTGAAAAGGGAGTTGAAAAAGGAAAGATGACAAGGAAATGCCATTATTCCATGCATTTCCCAATGCGTTTAATCTCCTGGCCATTGCTTCCAGCGTTTAAAACATAATCCCTTGGTGGTTTGATTCCCTTCCGCACCTGAAGACCTAAGGAAACCATCGCTTGCCAAACTGCAAATGTCTCCCAAACTTCTGTGCACCATAGAGGAGGTGTAAAGACCTCTGGCCTTTCTAGCAGTTAAGTGTAGCAAAAAGAAGAAAGAAAGACCATAGATAGATAGGTAGATAGATAGATAGATAGATAGATAGATAGATAGATAGATAGATGGATAGATAGATGGATAGACAGACAGAAGATTACCCTAAAAGATATAAACAAAGAGGCATCCTGGATGTCTGTCCTCGGCAGGGCATGGCATATGTACCTTATCCCAAGGCTCTGCTCCAGAGGCAAAGGCAGAAGGCTCATCACCAGTTAGAGGCCATCATAGTCTGCACAGCGAGTTCTGGACCAGTCAAGGGGAGAAAAATCTAGTTAGCAGCTGTTCTGACCCTGATGTTTGAGAAAAGGCCACTTGGGCTTGGTGAAGTGATGACCCTCTCTGCAGGGCATTTTCTGCTGGAAGAAAATTCTAAAGGATACTTGGATTTATTTTCCACCCCCCCCAAAGGGGGGTTCATTCTTTTGTTTTTGTTTTTGTTTTTTTCCAGAGAAAACTGATTTATTACGGAAAAGTGGGGACAAACTCTCAAGGGTAGAGAGGGCTCCCCAGGAGGGAGCACCCTACATGGACCCTTGGGAGGAACAAATTTCTACCACTGGTGGAAAACTACACCTCACACCTGGTTGTGTGCGGTACAGGCCTCCCCCTCTGCCCCGAGCTGCCAGGAGCAGTTCTGGAAGAATGGAACTGAATGTTGAGTGTTGTGTGGCATGAATTCATAAACTCCCACAACAGCACCGAAGCCTGACTTCAGGAAAATCGGCCCCTGCTCAGAGGCCCGTCGCGCTGCACAGCCCAGCAACTCTGACTCATTTTCTAGCGTACAGATTACCACACCTGGCTCCCCTCGCCCAGCCATTGAGTTTCCCACCGGAATTTACCAAGATCAGGTTGGGGAGTCTGAAACTCACAACTGAAAAAAATGTGATTTCTCTCTTCTTGAGGGATTTGGATGTTCGCCACACTCCCCATCAAAAGCTGGTTAGGAAACATGCTGTTATGAATTGCTAACCATTCTTTGAGATTGGACCGGTGACTCTTTTTCATCTTAAAATTATATTTATTGGGGGAAGGTGTGTAGGGTCAACAGGGCACGCGTGGAAGTCAGAGGAAAAGTTACTGGAGTTTGTTCATGCTTTCTGCCATGTGGGTCCTGAGAATTGAACTCAGCTGGTTAGGTGGAGCCAGCTCACTAGCCCTGAATAACTCACTCTAAGGTGTATCCCTTTTGGTACAAAATTGTTGAGTACATATCATGGAGGGAAAACTTTGTCAGTGGGGAAAGGTACAGTAGGGTGGCCTTATATTTTCATAACTGAGACAGTTTCCTGAGATGGTCTCACTCGAGGGGCCCAGGGTAACCTCAAACTTGAGATCCTTCTGCCTCCGCCTCCCAAGTGCTGGAATTACAGGCGTGTACCACTTTGCCTTCCCCTCCCCCACATCCCTGCAACCCTTTAGAGATAGGCTCTAAGCTGCCCAAGCTGACCTTGAACTTATGGTGCTTCTGTCTCTGCTTCCAGGATAGCTGTGCCTAGACATGCATATCACCGTGCCCAGGTCCAAACTAAGACACTTTGGAAAGTGAAGGAGGGTGGTTAATCATTTACTGGGATGTGTGTACATACTAAAAATAAGGCAAAATGAGCTGGGGAGCCAGGCACTAGTGGGATGACCCAGCTCTCCTGGCATGGGGCCTGGCAACGTCCCTTCTAATGAAGTCCTTTCTCGTGCAGGCCTGGCTTCTCGGTAAACTTGCCAACTAGGTTTCCTCTGCCCGATGCCCAGGCTGTTCAGAGGCTGGTGTCTCTGGCATGGGGCTGTTTCGGAGCTGGCCCACTGTCAGCAGCTGTGTGTGTTCCGTTCCCTCGTGGGGGCCCATCACAATCCTCCACATTTCCACCTGGCCAAGTGCCACCGAAGGAAAACAGTTTGTGGCACCGGGCAACAGCAAGCCGCTTCCTTTGCCTCCTGTGACCAAAGCGCGTTCCAAGAGGTTTCTAGTGCTCATCCTCAAAGAGGGCATCTGCTTCCCACTGCAAACGCTCTCCACCTGATGGTGAGCAGCTGGCCACCATGGAACAGAAAGCAGGCCACAGCCGTTTCCCTTTCACCCACCGGCCATTTGGCCTCCCTGCACTGTGAATTCCAAGGTAGCACGCACACACCATTGCTCCCGGGACTGGCACCCTCTAGGAAGGCACCTGGAGCTAGGACACTTGCGGTCATTTCTTCAACATCTCTTAAGTTTTAGGGAGGCAGAGTAGTGGTTCTCAGCCTTGGTGTGTCGGGTCAGAAAATTCTGTTTTTGCTGAGCCTGGTGACGCAGGCTGAGGTCAAACTCCCTAGGATGCTGAAGATGACCTTGACTCTTTAACCCTCGCCTCACCTCCCAGGCATGGGCTGCCCGCTTATGCAGAGCTGGGGACTGAAACCCCACCCCCACGGCTTCCCACATGTTAGGCAAACACCACCAAGCAGCGCCCCCTTGTTTTTTGTTAGAAACGAGGTTTCAGTCTGCTCTGGGATTCACCACAAGCCCAAGTGGGCTTCATCCACACAGAATCATCCTCCTGTAGCCTCCTAAGTGTTGGGATTGAGTGACTCACCACATCTGGCCGTAGGTCAGAAAATTCTATTCTGTTGACGGCTCCAGAGGACGTTCAATAGCATCCCTAGCCATCACTATCATCTCATTCTCTGCCAGCTTAACCCGCACAGTGGCCCTGCCCCTCAACACACACACACACACACACACACACATACTTAGAACAAAAGGCATCCAGCCATAGCCAAATGTCCCTGGAAGCAAAATTCTATCCACACCCACCCCATTTGAGAAGTCTCAAAGCCTTTGGGGTCCCCTTGGAGCCAAGCCCTGCCTTCTAAAAGTTTGTGCTTTAGCCACCAGATGCTGTTCACGGAAGTGGTACACGGCAGAGCTGGGGAGACAAGCAGATAAGCCCAACACAGGTACGTCGGGACTGAAGCTCCCCTTCCGTGCTGAACACGCCGGACCCGCACTGCTGCAGATTCGAAACGGTAAAACCAGGCTCTGAATGACAGGGCCCGCCCTTGAGGGTTCAGCGCTGCAGGCCTGCCCGGCTGGAACTCTGTGGTTACTTCTTGTCTCTCCCTTCGGTGGCGGAAATTGGGGAGGGCAGCCTAGGAACGCTTGGCTGGGACCGAGTGAACCGAAACCACTTCAGAGCTAGAGGCCGGCGGGAGACCCAACAGCGTTTTTTATTCAGCTCATAGGATCACGTAGTCCTGGATTCTTCTGAATCCCGCTCAACTGGGTGGGACTGGTGCCGCACAGCAGGGCGCTTGGGGTTGCTGACTGCCGCCCCCTGACAGGAGAAGGGGGTTTGGGGCAGGCTGTTGTCATTTTCCTGGCTGTCACTGTTAGTTCAGAGGAAAGTTTTCTCATACAAAACGACTCCCAGGAGCTCTGTCAAGAACCAAAACACAAAACAAAGAAAAAAAAAAAAAAAACCCCACCACAACCAAAATCCACCACCCTCTCAGGAGGCCCAGAGATGGGATGAGGGTCTGGCGCCTTTGTTGTGTTTCCCTGTGCAGGCCACAGAGGAGGGCCAGCGCCTGCTGTGATGCCAGCCAGGGCCCTGTCGGTGCTGCCTCCCCTGGGCACTGAAGCTGAGGCACCTGGAAGGGTTATTAGCAGGATTGGAACTCATCCTTCTGCTGGGACTGGATCATAATTACAGTAATTTTCTAACAGAGCTCGGCAGTAGGACTGTTTAATCAGCATCCGGCTCCCCTGTGCTCTCAGCCCTCATCACTCAAGGAGAGGAGTGGGATGGCTCTTAAAGAGACAGAGCCCGCCTTTCAGCATTCTGAACAGATGTGCCCTAATTGGTAGAATATATCTAAGTCTTGTAGCTTACAACGGGCAGGTTGCACTGCCTCCGACAGACTGCCTGGGGCTCTTGCTAGTCTAGGCCTTCTGCCGGAGGGCCCAGGTCAGGCTTGCTGGTGGGCCAGGACCCCAACCTACATAGCCACGAAGGGCAGACACACACAAGCTTATCTCACTATTTATGGGAGGAACCGGCAAGCGAGGCCCTCTAGATTGATGGAAGGAGAGGAGAAGAGGCTAGCTGAAGGGCAGGAAAGACTTGGAATTCTGGCTGGTGCTTTCCCATAATCCGAACATCACTGAAGCTCTCTCGAGGAAAACCCACACAGCCCCTGAACTGAAGAGAAGCCAACATTAGTTATCACATGCTGAGTCAGGGGCATTAGGCTCCTAAGGAGCCCGGCTTGTTAGTTGACCAGTTGAAAGTTGATGGTACCTGAAGATTTGAAGTTGCCAGCTTTCCCCTCCTCCACCTAGTCACAGCCGAGGCAGGGCTGTTTCTCTCTCCAGACGTGATATCCCTTACAGTGTCAGGACTGGCTCAGCTGGAAGGGCCAACATGCACGGTCTTTGCAGCCATTCCTTAAAGAGGAGCCGGAGAGGAGGGGACAGGACGCTTTCAAAGTGACTGAGGAAACCTTTCAGGAAGAAGGTACACTGGGAAGGAGACAAGGAAGCAGGGCATTCATCTATAGTCCGAAAGGCTCCATGAGCCAGGCTCTACAGAAATGACTCCCTTCTGGCAGAGGCTGCCCTAAGGCTTGGGATCTCGGCCCAGGGCCCACACTTGAAGGAGGAAGTGGCTCTGGCTTCCCAGAGCCTCGGTAGCATGCTCTTCTTGCATCCTCAAAGGCCAGGCACCCGGTGCAACACTCCAGCAGCCTTGATGAGTCAGGCCGGGGGCTGCTCTGATCCCATTTCTACATTTGACACACCCTTGCGCCTTGTGTCCCCTAAGTCCTTAAGAATACCAAGCAAGCCGGGCATGGTGACGCAGGCCTATAATCCAAGCGCTCAGGGAGGCAGAGGCAGGTGGATCTCTGCGAGTTTGAAGCCAGCCTGGTCTACAAAGCAAGTCCAGGATAGCCAAGGCTACACAAAGAAATTTGGTCTTGAGAGAAAATAATAATAATACTAAGCAAGAGTTGTGGTGTGCAAACAAACTCAGAGCTAGTTTAATCTCCATTCTGGTGAGCAAAGCCACCAGAGGTAGGAGTCAGTGGTGAGGGCTTAAGGCATAGCAGCCAGCAAACCAAGAACTGTGCAAGGTTTGTTTGCTGTTGCTCAGTATCATACTCTAGCCTGGAATGGCCTAGCACACCCTCTGTAGCCCAGGCTAGCCTTAAACTCACAGCAACCCTCTTGCCTCAGCCTCTCAAGTGCTGGAATCACAGGTGTGTGCCACCACACCCAAACATACTATAGAGCCCAGGAAGTACCTCATACAAAAATCAAGACACATTGGGCACAGAATGACACAGATTGCCCCAGGTCCTGTTCAGCCATTTAAAAACTACCTTTTACAAGTCAGTTTCTTCAGGCAGAAATGGAGTATGAAGCCTGCCTACCCTGCTGACTGCAATCAAAGCTCACAACTCATATCAAACTATTTTTACACCAGAACTTCCCCACCTTCGCTTTGCCCCCAAATGACCTTTCTTCCACTCAGTCCTCGTAAGTCCCCTACCTCCCACAACTCAGATTATGAAGATGATGAGGCCTGGGTCACAAAAGTAGCTGTGACCACAGCAGGCATCAAGCATGCCTCAGACCTCAGATCAAAACAAAGAGCACCCTGACCCTGCCACACAACCCACTGGGCCTCTCCCCGTAGCTAGCGAATGTCTCACACCGAAGCCATCAGGCTATGGGGACTATAGACTCCCACACACACTGGACAGAGAAAAATGCAAGAGAGGCCTCTGGCATTGCCTGGATGAAAAGAAATTTCCATTGATGCTTGCTGTTTTTCTGGTTCGTGGGCCCACGCTATTAGGAAAGCTCTCCTCTTCTTCGGACATCTTCTCCAGCCAATACTCAACTCAGCACAGGCTGAGATGAGAAGGCGTCTGGCCTTCTCATTAACTTGGGTGCTGTTGTATGCACTGCTGCTAATGGATCATTAAAAAAGCCGGGAGTCTGAGAAATCACAGCCATGTCTGAAGAGTGCCTGCTGTCCCAGCAGCCCAGACTGCTGGCAGAGCTGGCTGCCTAGCGCCAACTCCAGGAAGAGAAGGGAGAACAGAAGAAGGCCAACCCAGCTTGCTGTTTTTTGGCTGAGTAGGGAATTGACACAGACCACCTCCGGCTCCTGTCTGGAAGTTTTGAGATCAGAGAGCTTCAGGCACAGCTGGGTTCACAGCTGCACCATTTGGAGCATTGGACTCATTAATATTCATGAACCATCCCCACCAATCGGCAGAGTGGATGCCATTAGCCTAGCATCTGTCGGGTTTTGTGAGGGTTGTGTGTGGAGTTTTTCCCCCCTTTTAAATGAACTTCTTTTGACATTTTGGATTTGCCTCTGTAGGTTTTCTCTCCTCGCTTCGCTCTGATGCATCATATAAAGGAAAGACCCAGGGGAGGCGGGCAGGAAGGAGGGATGAACACCAGCCAGGGCTTTGCATCTGCCTGTTGACAAACTTTATTTCTCTTTTAGCACCTGGCACCTCAGACAGGCTTCAAAGATAGAAGCAGCATCAGGTAAATTATACCTAACAAGGTTCATGCTCAGAACTGCAAGAAGAGCTGGATCCTGGCTCTTTGGAAAACAGTCCCTCCTGCCGTGGTGAACTTGAGTCACACACACAATGCAGGAGAGCTGCATCACACAGTTCAACGGCGTTCTTTCCACACTGATAAATTCATGATTTATGAAAGAAACTCCTGCCAGCCTCACTCCCTCCTTCCCTGCTGCAGCTTGTTAGACACAAATTGCAACAACAGTCTTAAATACTTGTGTTTTATTTCAGGCCAAAGCCCCTCAACTCTGAACGAACGGGCCCACAACCGCAGTGGAGGGCCAGAGGGAGAGAAGCACACACAAACCCAAGGGCAGAGCAGCAGCGACAAGGTGAGGCCAGCAGAGAACCCACCCTAGGGTTCCAGCTGGTAGCACCTGCTCTCTGCAGAGAGGCTTTGACAGCGGGGGGTTGGGGAGGGAACAGAGGCTACACTGTCTGAAGAGCCTGTGGGTCCTCATCTCCGTCCCCGCAGCCCTCAGTTCGGGGCAGAGACAAAGCCCATGTGCCCCACTGCACTGACCATGCAGTTTCCCTGCAATGAGCAGTGGGAAAGGGGCAGTAAGAGCCCCGGGGGCAAGGAGTTGTTACTAAGAGAGAGAACAGGATCTAAACAAAAAAAGGGGCCCACTTTAACCCTGCAGAAACACTAGCTCTGCTTGAGAGGCAGAAGATGGGCTGCCCAGAGCCCCCTCTGCCCAAACAAAGCTCCTGAGTTGCTCCTTGCCCTCTGGCTGTGGCCAGCCACTTCTGGTGTTAAAAACCCTCTGGCTCCACTCAACCTGCCAAGGTCTTAGAAGATGCTGGAAATATGAGTCACACACTGCCATTTACTGAAAAGCAAGGAGGTGGGAAGTAGATATTCACCACCCTGTCCACACAGGGAGGAGGCAAGAGGCCACAGCCTCCCACAACTAAAATGTTCCAGGAGCTACAGCAAAAACTGAAGCCTGCCAGGGTGGGAGAGTAACAGTATAAGCATTCTGTTGGGACAGTATTCAAGAGGTTCTCCAAACCATTCACCTGTGGCAGTGCTCCTTACACAAACACCTGAAGGAACTCAGCTCCTGGGAAAGAAAATACAGTTCTACTTAAATCAACAGCCCTGTGCTTAACTTACAAACACCGCGGTGTTTGTTCCCATGGAGGAGATACAGCAGGCAGCCACAGCCAACCTCTGCTATAGCAAACCTGAGAAGATGTGAATGGAAGATGCTCAGCGACCCGGCTTCCCCTACATCTGCCTGTGCCCACGCCACCTGGATGTGACTGTGGCCTGCATCTTCTCCACCACCCGGGAGAACCTAGCGCTCAGCCACAGCTCACTTTCCCCACACTGGGTCTAGCTGAGCAGGATCCAAAGGCACAGCATGGTCCCCTCCCGTGGCCCTTCTCAAGGGCTGGGACACAGCGAGTCCCTCATCAGGTCTTGCAATATCACAGCATGATGCTGAGGAGTTCGGCGGCAGCATGACACTTTCCAAGGATGGTCCCTCGGAGTCGATCGCTGGAGCCCACGATTCTAAGTGGTTCTTCTCTTCACTGGGAGGTGGTGAAGGTGAGTTCCTCCTCCCTGATCTTGGAAGAAAGCAGCAGCTGGGAAGAAGAGAGAGGAAAGGGAAAGATGGGCATGAATAGGTAATAAAAATGAAGGGACAGGCATAGGTAGATAAGCAATAGATCCTATGACCATTCAATGAAATATTCAGCCATAAAAAGAAATGAAGAAATGAAAACATGCTGGAGCCGGCAGAATGGCTCAGTGGCTAAGAGGCCCTTACCATCAAGCCTGCTGACCTACTTCAGTCCCCAGGACCCACATGACAGGAGGAGAGGACTGAGCCCAACAAGGTGGCCTCTGACTTTCACATACATGCCATGAATATAATATATACAGGCACACACAAACAAAATCAAAGTATGATTTTTTTTTAAATTTAAAGCATTATGCTAAATACACAAAACCAACTGCCATATCACTCTGTGTGTTTGAAATGTCCCAAATAGGCAAATTCAGACAGAACCTAGACTATGGTTACCAGGGGCAACAAACAGCCGCTGCTCCCTGGGGTAGCATTTCTTCCCTTACAACAGTAACATGGTCTAAGAGCTGAGGACGCAGCTTGGCCTAACGCAAGTGAAGCCCCAGGCTTCACTCCCACCCAGAGCCACAGTTATCAATTCATTAAATATTTAAAGAGAGCCTGGTATGGTGGTACATACCTTTAACCCCCGCACTCGGGAGGCAGGCAGAGCTTTGTGAGTTTGAGACCATCCTGGTCTACATACCGAGTAGCTTATATAGTGAGTAGGTCTACACAGTGAGACCCTGTCAAAAAAAAAAAGAAAAAGAAAAAGAAAGAAAGCAAAAAGAAATAAATGTTCTAAAGTTAACGGAGTGCTATATACACACCTGGAATACCTGAGCTCTAGTCTGAGGCAGAAAGATTACCAGAAGTTGAAGGCTGGCCTGGTATACAGCTCCAGGCCAGTATGGGCCCCAGAATAAGACTCTGCATTAAACAAAATGAAAAAAGCCAAAGGAGCCTTCCCCTTCCTCTTTTTTTTTTTTTTTCTTTTTCATTTGAGACAGAGTTTATCTGTGTAGCCTTGGCTGTCCTGGACTCTTTTTGTAGATCAGGCTGTCCTTGAACTCACAGAGATCTGCCTGCCTCTGCCTCCCAGAGTGCTGGGATTACAGGCATGCGCCACTGTGCCCAGGTGGCCTTCCCCTAATTTCTTCGAGTTTCAACCACTAGTTTCCCATTCAAGATAGAGAACCAGGCCTTTCCAAGGCTACCAACACTGTGACATTACTTTCCCTAACACACGGACATCCCATTTTGAGTCGTGTGTGATCTCAGCCCTGGCTACCTTACCAGGTCCTACCTGTTAAGCTGGTCCCCTTTAGCCAGGTGAGAGGTGCTCTGCCTCTCCTCCTGGGCCCAGCCACAATTTGACATAGCATAGCTAAGGATGGCGTCAGACACACTCATGGACCCTCGGCCCTGGACACAGGCTTCGATCTCGGGCACCGAGAGCTGGCTCTGGAGGAAAAGGTGCAGCTGACTGTCAGACAGAAGAACCACGCTCTGCAGGACCCTGGAGCAACAGAGAGGACAACAAGGTGTGATGGAGCAGCCCCCCATCCTCATCCCAGCCGGGCTTTGGCTCCATGGAGCACTGGAGATGGGAGAGCACAGGAAAGCAAGCCACCACAACCGTGGCTGGGTGAGCAGGGCAGAGGTCTGCACCTGCCTTCCCATGGCCCTGCCTCCACAATGGTGGCCCCTGCTGACCCAGCCTCTCCACTCACTTTTCTAGGAAAAGCTGGAGACCTTGCCGACGCTTCTCAATGAACTCATCGGAGCTGCCAAAGAAAGTGGACTTCCCAGGAAGTTCTGGCACAGGCCTGTGGAATGGTACGGTAAGACCCAAGGTAAATAAAACAGAACCCCCAAACCTCCCAAAAGAATCCCGAGAAGCGGCCCAATCAATACAGGTGGCTTTCGGGAAGGGGCGTGACAGAACTAACACTGATGGTATATCCTATTGCCACAGGGTAACTGTGGATATTCAGTCTTCCTAAAAACCCCATGAGAAAGCTGTTAGTGTCCTCCTTTCAGAAAACCAGAAAGGTGACATAAAATTCCCACTGTCACACAACGAAGCTGGTAGCCAGGACCCAGGTCGCTATACCACTCCATCCCAACATCACTCACTCTTTTTCTGCCTTTTATTGGAAGGGGCTTTCAATATTTTATCTTTTTATTTCTGTGTATATGCCTGGTGATATGTGTACCGTGTGTACAGTATCTGAAGAGGCCAGAAGAGGGAATCAGATCCCCAGAAACCTGGATTACAGGCAGTTGTGAACAACCTGATGTGTGTTGCCAAATCCAGCTCTCCAAGAGCAGCACGCGCTCTTAACTACAGAGCCACCCCTCCAGCCCCACCCCTCCAGCCCCTTCTGGGGCTTTCCAACACATGGCCTCACGATGTGACAGCCCTGGCTGGCCTGAAACTTGCAGTAATCCTCCTGTCTCTGCCTCCTCATTGGTAGGGTTACAGGCCTGCTCCACTACCCCCAGCTCTACTGCTTCTGTGCTGCGCTGGGGTGAGGAGATGTGCAGAAGCCCACGGTTGATGCAGGCCAGCTTCCCTAAGCACCCTCCATGTGCTGAAACGGAATCTCTCACTGAACCCAGAGTTCACCCATGTGGCGAGGCAGTTGGCCTCAGGCCCTAGGATTCCCCTGTCTCTGTCTCCCAGTGCTGGACTGCAGCTTTTCTCAAGGGTGCTAAGGATCCAGCTCAGCTCCTCATGCTTTACAGCGACCATTTCACCAACGTCCATGCCCCCAGCACCAGCTCTCTACAGTAAAATGCAGAACGCTGGATCCTGGGTATGCATTAGAACTATCTCCTCCAAGTCAGACATGTTGCCATGTGTCTATAATCTCAAGTACTCGGCAAGCTAAGGCAAGAAGGTGGAGCATTTGAGGCTAGCCTAGAGCAACACACACACACGCTCTGGTTCAGAAAAAATAAAGATAAATAGACTACTCCAGCCCCAGGATTTTCCAAAAGTGAGGTGAGCTGTAGCAAGTTACTGATGAACTGTCTTAGCATCTGTTCTAAAGCACAGGGAACTTTATTATTACTTTAATTATTCCGTGGGGGCAGGGGAGTATGTGCACATGAATGTAAGTGCCCACAGAGGTCACAAGTGTCAGGTCTCCCTGGAGCTGGTTACAAGCAGTTGTAAGCACCTGATATGGGTACTGGGACTGGAACTCAGGTCCTCAGGAAGAGCAATAATGTGCTCTTAACCACTGATCTCTCTCTCCAGGCCCAGGACACTTTAAAAAATAACAAGAAGCTAGGGCTGAAGACATAACTCAGTGGTAGAGTGATTGTCAATCACAATGTCCTGAGTTCAATCCCCACAGCATGCACACGCACACACCCCAAACCAGCCTAGAGAAAGGAACTAGGGGAATCTCAGCTGGTATGTCTCACGGCAGTAGCCCGATCAGTCAGTGCCACATGGGCCGTCCGGCGGGCCATCCGGGAGGCCGACTGCCTCCAGTGAGCATTCTCAACCACTCCAAAGTAAAGGACGGGAGGAAGAGGCAAGAGAACCAGCAGTCCGAGGCCAACGTGGGCTATGTAAGACCACATTTCAAAAAACAAAACCAATCTATCCAGCTGTGGTGATCCATGCCTGAGACCCCAGCACTCCAGAGGCTCCCAAAGGAAGACTGCAGGTTCAAGGCCAACTTGGACTACACAGTGAAAGCCTGTCTCAAAAGTGGGGGGGGGGCCCAGATTTACAGAGAAGACAACCAACAAAGTGCCAGGTACTAAAGAAGAAGGGAAATGTTTAAAAACGTGTTTAAGTCATTGAAATATATGTGAGAGCACATGAGTGTCCACATTCAACGTTTTCTTCTGTTTACAGTTTCCCTAGTCAACTGACTAGAAAGGGGAACACTGGTTTTCTCTCGCTCACTTAACGTGATTTCAAGCATTTCCTGGGCTCTTTTCCCCCTGACCTCGAGCTCAAGGGTCTCTTGAGAGCTGAGAAAGCAGCAAGAGCAGACTCACACCAGGCCTGCATTCCTCTGCAGCTGCTTCCTCAGCCACACAAACTCCCGGTAGCGGCGCCGCACACAGGAGGTCTTGGCGGTGAAGGCCTTGCTGTTCGTCTAGAGGAGAAAGTCCATAAAAAGGGCTTAAATGGAACAAGACTAAGATCACGTGAGTTCACCAATCACTCTCATTAATGGGAGAAGCAATCAGGCCATTGGTTCCTGGACCAAGATGCCACTGACAGCCTGAAAGCAATCTGCAGTTATACCACAAGCTCGGTCCTCTCCCTACTCCTTTTTCTTCTAACTCTTCTGACTTGGGCTGTTGGGAACACCCACAAATCATTTCTACCTCAGCTCGGCCCACAGCCCTGCAGCTGACCCCATTACAGAAGCCTGACTCACGTGAAGAAATATCTTATAATCCACGTAAGAATTCCAGGAGCCCTCATTCTGCACCCGGGGGTCCTGAACACGCACCGTGATCACCTCCTGCAGGTGAAAGGAAACAAAACAAACAAATGCTCGTTCAGCTTCAGCTCAGCCACACAACGTGAATGTTTGGTGTCGGCTCTGGGGTCCCGGCTGGCGGGAACTCGCTATGTAGACTTCCTGCCTTGGCGATTCTTGCAGGTCTTGAGCTCAGTGAGGCGCTTCATGTAGCTAGCAGGACGGCTCTGACCGCACAGTGGCTACCAGAGTTTCTCACTCAGCACCAACCCTCAGTCATTGCTCCATTCAGTGCAACAAGTATTTACTGATCACCATCACCAGTGCACATCGGGCACTGTACTAAAATAGAACATGGGCAAGAAACAAGCCCCTGCCGTTCTCCAGGAGACTGCAGGCCAAGCCAGCTAGTGCAGGTCTGGAATCCTAATGACTTCGGAGGCTCAGGCAGGAGAATCAAAAGTTCAAGGCCTTAGCAGAGGAACTTAGTGAGAATCAAAAATAAGTCAGTGAATGAATGAATGAATGAATGAATAAAGAGCTATGGACAATGTCTCTCCCCTGTAGCCCTGATGCTCAGGGAGAGGCAAGAGGATTGCCACAAGTTGCAGGTTCACAAAGCAAGTTCTAGGCCAACCAAGACTATACAGTGAAACCCTGACTCAGAAAAGATATAAAAGAGAGCTAGGGTTATATGCCCCAATATTAGAGCTGAGCAGTCACAGGCCTCGAGCTTATGTGCCCTGGAAAGAGTAGGCAAATAAGAACACAGCATGACACATATGTATGAAAATGTCCTGATGAGCCCCATTTCTTGGATGATAACCAAAAACGTAATTTTAAAAAAGCTCACATTCTAAATGGAAGCGTACTTGTCAGCACATGCTATGAGTTCCTTCTCCTAGCCTTAATTTGAGCCCATCAGAAACCCCAAGGGTATTGGGGGGGGGGGGCGACACCACAGGTGATGATCTGCATCTGTGTCCCCTCCTCCTAGGTGGCCCGCCAATTCTGACCTGCCTGGAGAGCACGCTTACCTCCAGTTCTTGGTTCTCCAACATCCTACATCAACAGCCCATCGGAAGAGACCATCTGAGGAGGACAGAGGGCATGGGAACAAGCAGTTAGCATGTCCTTACCAGGTTCTGTCAGGGCAAAACCCCGAAGGTTTTTAATATACGTTCCTTGGGGAAATCCAGGTAACTTTCCCCCTACCCCAATTACGCTGTGTGAAACATGAAAGGGGAAGGAAAAGCAAAACCCCCACATTAGTTGGTGGCAAGCTAGAAGCCCTGGGGAATTTGCCTCCATTCTCAGACTACTGCTAGGACCCTCTACAAAGCCACAAAGGGGTATGTGGAGAGTGTGTTGTGGTGGCCAAAAGGGCAGGTGTGTTCCCCTGTAAAACTTTTGCCTGAGGACTGTGGTTTAGCAGTTTTGTGGAACACAGCTTTGAAAAGGAGCCTAACAGCACCCCCTCCTGGTTGTTTAGAAACAACCAAGTCTCTACAAATACCAATGCACCAGCAATCTCTGTCTTGCTAACCGAAGTCACTCCCAGACAGGTTGAGTCCCGGAGCTGAAGCTGAATGGTCCAGTTATAGTTAACACCTTCCCTAACCAGCTCTCCAGAACGGGAACTGACCACTGTAATTGTTTCCCATCCTGACAGGCTATCCGGTTTGTACTTCTGCCCAAGCACCCCACAGCATCGTAGGTCACCTCAGGATGCATCCTGCTCCTTTGTAAAGATTCATTAAAGCCTAAGCCACTGATTTCCCCCAGCGTGGTAGTTTACGCACACAGCGACATCGCCCCCTTCGACAAGGGGACCGTGAAGGCAGCAGCACAGGGTTACTGGATTCCAAGGGGGACCATGATGTCACCTTCTGTTAAAATACAGCACTAATCTTGTTACTCCTAGAACCAACAGCTTCCACCCTGGCTGCCGCCTCCGCCCCCTTCCTCTCTCTTAAGAGCAGAACAATAAGGTTTAATTTCCCTTTCCAATTTACCTTGAAATGAAAACTGACTTCAGCCAATATGTACTGCCAACAAATGATCCGGGCTGGCTCCTGGGAAAACAAGACTATCTCTAAGCTTTCCCTTTCCTCCTCCCACGCCCATCCACACACCCACTCATTTTTACAGTCCCACCATTAATTTTAAACACAATCTCTTATTAGTTCTGCCTTGCCATCAGAAGGGTGCATAATGAGCTTCCGTCTAGTTTATGTTTTGCTAACACAGGGCTAATGTTTCAAAAGAAGGGGAACTCGCTTACAGCATGGAATTAGCAGAGCAAACAGCTTTTGCAACCCTTTCCAAAATCCCAGAAGGTCTCTCTACAGACAGACATAGCATGCAGGGACAAAGCTACATAGCAGATGACAAAACTGAGCTACGCTGTGGCGCAAACCCAAGGTTCTGTGATTTCAACACCATAATAAACAGCATTCTTGCTGACAATCTGATTTCTCATCCACTGCAGTCACCACCTCCAATAGGCCCTGAGCTGAAATGCACTTTCGGGCATTTCAATTCCCCAATTACCCAGCATAGCAGCCCAGATGCAAACAGACAAAGGTGTGTGACCAAAAACAGCAGACAGACTTGCTGTGAATAATTAACTTGCTGGGATTTTCCCTCCTCTTCTCTTTTTATGCATTTGCTAAACTGCCAGAATATCCTGAAATGGCTTTTTTTTTTTTTTTTGTGTGGAATAAAAAAAAAAAAAAAGAGAAAAAAAAAAAAAAAAAAAAACACCTACTTAAGGGAGTTCAAACCTCTCTGCCTGAAAGTTCACCTCTCTGTGAAATTCAAGACTGTAATTCAATAACTAAATGGTGACCATACCTTTAGGCTCAAGGAAAGTTTGCTAGGGCCCCACAGCACCCCCATGTGGAAGTTTTTCTCCTTTATTTTGGAACTAATGTCACACAGAAACAACCATAAACTGGCTTCTAAAAAATGCCAAGCCTCCTGAGACTCTGTGGGTGTAAGCCTAGGTTTAAAGGACACTGAGGAAGTTCTGGTTGCAAAATTTAAAACAATGAAACCGCAAAAACAACACTGCATTTCTAACAAGCACTGTTCTCCATCAATGTCCTTCCCAAAGACAACACTTTTGGAAGAAAACGAAGCTCAGTTCCATTCCTGGAGAAGCAGCAAGTTCTCAACTCAACCCTATGACCTGTCCTAAGGGATGGAAGAAACAGATCTGTGCATCTACTAAAAAAGGATAGTCAAGTCACCTCCAAAGGTTCGGACACTTACTCAATGCTAACTACATTTCCCGAAGTGCTCTTTGCTTCCCTCAGCTGTACCAGCATCAACAGTCCTGGGGAAGAGCCAGATCGTTTGGTGCGTACTGAGTTGACGCGTTGTAAAGCTCACAACTGCTAATTCAGGGGAGCAATTCAAAGCCTTCCCCTCATTTTCTCTGCCACTTAAACTACTTCAAGGGACACGTTAAAAACAAATCACGCTGTAAAAAGGATTGCACCAAGGAGCCTCCCGCCCTTTCTTACTCATTCTTGAGTCGCTGGTGTCAACAGGAGGCAACTCGAAAACCTCGCCTTCCTAAATTCCCACGGTCGTTCGAGGGAGCAACTCCGACTGACAATCTGTCCTGTCCATCAAGCAGCTGTTTTCACCTTTCAGTCGGTAACCCACTCCTTTCACCTGGAAGTGACAGAGGGGACCATAATTTCCAGAGTCCGCGGGGGGGGAAAATCTGCCATTTTCTCCCACTCCTAACCACTCCTGTAGATATCCCCAAACTCTGACGCCGGTCACCCCCTTCCACTCTTAACAAACTGAGATGGAAAGCAGCCCCACGGGCCTTCCCTTTCCCCGGTTGACAGAGATCTTCTATGTTCGTATACTGAAGGCCAGACTTCCCTTTTCCTCGGGTCCCAGCAAGCCCTCCCTCTCACACCGGGCAGTAAGAGAGACCCCGGCGTGTCAGGCCAGGCCATCACTCAAATGCCGCCACCGCGGCTCGAGCCCGTATCCCACCCCTCCCCCTCCCCCTCCCCAGCGGCACCTAAGGGCCGCGGCCCCGCCCACGCCCTCTCACCTGAGAGCGGCGGCAGCTCTCCACAGCGACTCCACCAGCGCCGCACGGTGCAGCCCGAATCCCGGCTTCTTCTTCCGGGTGAGCCGCCGGCGCCCCGGTGCACGACGGGAGGCGACTCCCGACGGGCCAATCCTGAGTGTCCAGGACGCCCCACCCGCGCCGAGCAAGGCTCTCAGTGGCGATCGCGGGTCCGCGGCGGCTCTGCGCCCCGCCCAGACCTGAGCTGCAATCGGGGTCTTTCCGGAAATCGCTCGGGGTGCTGGAGGCGGAGCGCAAGGGCGGAGAACCCCGTGATGTCCACTCCGGGGCCGCGTCCCGCCCACCGCCGTCTGGAGCGCCAGTCAGTGCTCAGGGAGCGACGTTAAAGGCCTGAGCGAGCATCCTGGGGATCCCAAGTGTCAGTAGGGTGTTACCGAGCGGTCAGCAGTGTGGGAGGCTTCCCGCGTTCCTGAAGCGTTACTAAGGCCCTGAGGAGGTGCCGCTCTGAACCTCCGAGGTAAACGTCAAGGGCACTGCCAGTGAGATTTGGAAAAGCCGAAGATTTATCCCCGCAAAACACAGACGAGAAAGTTGACAGTTCCTAGTTGTCCAGGCCAAAGCAGGATCACGCAAGGAAAAGCCGGTGAAAATGCTAACTGTAGCGATATCAAAATTCCTTCTGGGGCTGGAGAGATGCCTCAGCGGTTAAGAACACTCTCTGCTCTTCCAGAGGTCCTGGGTTTGATTCCCAGCAACCACAGGGTGGCTCCCCACCATCTATGCTGGGATCTGATGCCCTCTTCTGGCATGCAGATAAAGCACTCACGTATGTAAAATAAATAAATATATCTTTAAAAAAAAAAAAAAAACAGCTGGAGAGATGGTTCAGGAAATGAGTTCAGCACCCACAAATTCCTGTAACTCCAACGTCAGCAAATCTGAGGCACACATACACTAAAAATGATTATTTATTTTTACTTTATGAGTGTTTTGCCTATAAGTATGGATGCCTAACCCGGTACTCTCAGAGGCCAGACGAGGGCCTGGAGTTACAAGCAGGTGGAGCCACTGTGTGGATCCTGAGAACTGAACCCATATCCTATGCAAGAACCGAAAGTGTTCTTAACCTCGGAGTCATGTCTCTAGTCCCAAATCCTTTTTTTTCCTTCTTTCTTCTTTTCTTTTTTTCTCTTCTCTTCTCTTTCCTCTCCTCTCCTCCCACTCCTCTCCCTCTCCTCTCCTCTCTTTTCTGAAACTTAAGGAGGCTGGGCATCATGTTAGCACACGCCTGTAATTCTAGCACTTGGGAGATAGAGGCAAGCAGATCTTCATGAGTTTGAGGCCAGCCTGAAGTCAGGCCAGCCAGGCTATTACACAGAAGTGGTGGATCTTGGAAGCTTCTAGCCTCTGTGCAATCAAATCTAGGCCTAGAGTGCTTTCAGCCTCTGAGACTTACTGCTGAATGAGCTCAGCCTTTCTAGTTCTTTCTGAACTCTGGCTGGCTAGTTTAACTCAGCTGTTCTGGCTTAAACTCCTCTCCTAGCTGATTTATTCAGTCTGGCTTCTCTGAGGTCCAGACTCAAGTCCTCTGCAAGAGCAGCAAGTGCTCTTAACCACTGAAACATCGCTCTAATCCCATTTTAAAGAATTTTAATCATGTTAATACCATCACTGATCTCATCAGGAAGCTTTCAGGAAGTTGGCAGGTTCACTATGGTGGACACCACATTTCCAAAGGTAAGATTTTTTTTTTTTTTCTTGAGAGTAATTTTCTCATTGGCAGTAATACTTGTATTTTCCTTTACATGGCCAACTCTGCATTTAAACATCTGCTTAGTCAGCTTTTTCCTTTTCTTTTTTGCTAGAGTTTTTCCATGGAATTCATAATTCTTCTGCCTTAGCCCCCCAAATGCTGTCATTATATGCATTTGCCACACTGCCTAGAAAAACTTAACTGATGATGTTGGGACCAATCGTTTTTTGTTTGTTTGTTTGTTTGTTTGTTTTTCTGAGACAGGGTTCCTCTGTGTAGCCAGGGCTGTCCTGGACTTGCTTTGTAGATCAGGCTTGAATTCATCAAGATCTTCTGCCTCTGCCTCTGCCTCTGCCTCTGCCTCTGCCTCTGCCTCTGCCTCTGCCTCTGCCTCCGCCTCCCTAAGTGCTGGGATTACAGGCACATGCCAAACTCGCCCAGCTGGGGCCAATCTTTATACAATAAATACAAGGAAATAACAACCACAACTCTAAACAACGAAATCAATCCAGACTCCAAAATGCTTAAAAATTCAAAATATATTGGGCACCAGTGCAATCTTTCATTGTAGCATTGCACTGTGCCCAATATATTTTAAAGAACAGGAATTCAAGGTTATTGAATGAGAAAAAAATTAAAGAAAAAATAAAGAGAAAAGGGCATGACTACTTCTAGGAATGGTGGAGGAGAAAGTTTGTTATAGATAAAAGAGAGAACATAGCTAGGGGCACAGATATCCAGAAGGGTCCAAAGTGACCATGGCCCTGAGCCATGTGAAAAAGCAGGGATGGGAGAGCAAGACCAGGAGGGCAAAGGGTAGATGCCCTCCTGGGATTGGATTATATAGAAAAGGGCTGCCCAGCCTCTGGGCTGGAGAGGTTTAGCGAAGTTGGTGGGGTATGTCAGTCAGGAGGGCCCTGTTAACAGGCAGGGACTGAGAGATGCCGGAAGAACCTGGAGGCCATGTCAGATGTGAAATGTTAAGTAGGCACCTCAGCCATTTGTCTGGGGTTTGAGACTTAACAGTTCTCTTGGCTACAGTAAGTCTGAACCTAGCGCAGGACTACATGAGACCCTGTCTCGAAACTGAAAGAGCCAGCTAGGGTTGCCTGAAGGTTTCCCAGGCAGCTGAAGGCTTGAAAGAGTGCTATCTGCAGAATGATCACAACTGCAGGGTCTTAAACACCAATCCCTTCAGAGCCCAGGAAGTCTGTTCCTTTTCTTGTCTTTTTTATTTGTTGTTGTTGTTTGTTTGTTTTGTTTTTCGAGACAGGGTCTCTGTGTGTACCCTGCCTGTCCTGGAACTCACTCTGTAGACCAGGCTGTCCTGTGCCACCCAAGTGCTGGGGTTAAGGGTGTGCGCCACCGTGTCCAGCTCAGCTCCTTTTTGCAGGTTTCTGGAACCACCTTTCATGAACCAGTGACTATTCAAGAAAACTAAATCTGAAGTCTTCTCTATCACACGTGACCTATCATCTTGTCAGACCTTAACATCTACTATTCTGAATTTGCACGGATTTCTGTTTCACAAGGTTTAACTATTTTATATACCCTGGTTGGTGTTTACAATAAAACAGCATACAAACAAAACAAAACAAAAAAACAGCACTGACTGCTCTCCCGGAGGCTCCAGGCTCCAGGGCAGCGCATCGCCATCACTTAGCTCCAGTTCCCCGTAAATCTAGCGCCCTCTTCTGGTCTCTGCGGGCACTGCAAGCACATGGTCCACAGACGCATGAAATGAAAATAAATCTTTCGAAAAGGAAAAGATAAGGGGCTGGGGAGATGGCTCAGCGGTTATAAGGGCACTGGCTGCTCTTCCAAAGGACCCGTGTTTAAATCCTAGCACCCACATGGCAGCTTACAGCTGTCTGTAACTCCAGTTCCTCACACAGATATAGATGGAGGCAAAACACAAATGTAAAAGTAATTTTTAAAAAAAGAAAAAGGAAAGATAGAAAAAAAAGAGAGAAAAGAAAAAAAAGAAAGCCAGGTGGTAGTCATGTACCCCTTTAATCCCAGCACCCAGGAGGCAGAGGCAGGTGGATCTCTGAGTTTGAGGCCAGCCTGTCTACAGAGTTACAGGAGGACCAGGGAACTACGCAAAGAAACCCGGTCTCCAAGAAGAAAAGAAAGAAAAGAAAATTGTGTTCAAGTGAAACAAAGAATTCCTAGGGGCTGGAAGGGTAGCTCAGTGGTTAAGAGCACTGGCTGTTCTTCCAAAGAACCTGGGTTCAAATCCCAGCTCTCACATGGCAGCTCACAACTATGTGGAATTCCAGTTCCAGAGGTCTGATACCATCGCATAGACGTACATGGAGGCAAAACACAACTGTAACAATAATAAAATAATTTTAAGAGGAAATTCCTAACAGTGTGGAGGGAAATGCTTTAAAAGTTCTGTCCTTCCCTCACTCTTTAAATTACATCTTAGAAAAAGCTACCTAACGCCAGGCAGTGGGTGGCACAGAACCTTTAATTTCAGCATTCAAAAAAATAAAAATCTAAAAATAAGTAGTATTTACTAACGTTATTGTCAACTCTGCAGAAATTCCTTTTTTTTGTTGTTGATTTTTGTTTTTTGTTTTTTTTCAAGACAAGGTTTCTCTATGTAGCCCTGGATGTCCTGGAACTAGCTTTGTAGACCAGGGTGGTCTACAGAGATCCACCTGCCTCTGCCTCCCAAGTCCTGGGATTAAATCACCCGCCTTGGAAAACAGCCTCAACTATAATGTCCTAGGCTTGGAGTGTAGCTCAGTAACAAAGTGCTATGTGCCTGAGCGTATGTGCGTGCAGCTAGGACAGGAAGGAGTTAGATTCCCGGGAACTGAAGTTCCAGGCAGTTGTTGTGAGCCACCGTATGTGTGTGGGAACAGAACTCAGATCCTCTGCAAGAGCAACAAGTGCCCTTAACCTTTGAGCCACCTCTCCAGGCCTGTAAGGTGCTTCCTTATCATATACAAGCCCCGGATTTGATGCCCAACACCAATACAAGATAAAGCAAATTCCTTATCATATACAAGCCCCGGATTTGATCCCCAACACCAATACAAGATAAAGCAAAGCTAAAAGTATTACTAATAGTCTCAAGGTTATTCAAAACAGGTGGACTGATGTTTTTGGAGGCTCAAACTCAAATAGTTTTAGGAAGAATTGGTCTCTTTTTACTAAATTTTGTATGATATTGCTGAGCTAAACCTTTCCTCCCCCCCCCCCTTTTTTTTTTTTTTTGTCTTAGTTTTTTGAACAGGAAAGTTGTCACTGGTTTTTTTGAGGCAGGCAGTCATTCTGTAAAGGAGGCTGTCTTGGTACCCCCTACACCAAGCTATAGCCTAAGCTTCTCTTAAACTCACAGGAATCCTGCCTGCCTGCCTTAATCCCCTGAGTACTAGGATTAAGATGCATGAACCATCGTACCTGGCCTTGGGAAATTTGATTTGACTCATTTATTCACTTAATCACTTAATTTCATGGATCTTTACCAATAGTGAGAGTCAAAAAAAACCAGGGACATGTGCATGCTAGCAGCAACTGCCAAGGGCTTTATTGGGTGATGTGGATACATGAGCCATGTAAGGCAGTGTTTCTATTCTTAGTGGAGTTCATAGCTCGAAAGTTAGGACTGACTTATTATTTTCTGACCGAGAAAGTGATTTAGTCGTTCATTCATTCATCTGTTCGTTTGTTCATTTATTTATTAAATTAAAAAAATATTGAGAGGAAAGAACCCAGGAGGTCGGCTGCCTTTGTTTGGACACGAAAGCATCCGGGAAAGTGATTTTAATGCTGAGGAGACCCTCATCCAGGTGGAGATTAGAAGATACGCAGTTTGCTGGACATTACTGCTAAATCTCAGGTGTTTTGTTTATTTTTGTTTTCAACCGCGGTGGCGCATGCCTGTTATCTCAGCACTCAGGGAGGCAAAGGCAGGTGGATCTCCTTGAGTTCCAGGACAGCCAAGGGGCTACACAGAGAAACCCTGTCTCAAAAAAAAAAAAAAAAAAAAAAAAGACTTAGAGGATGTTAGTTACAAAACTACCCAGAGGGGGTTTTCGGGACCACACATGGTCGGGTTAGTTTCCAACCCAGTGTGTCCTAATTTTGTAGACTGAGCAAGGAGTACTGGTGGGCGCCTGTAACACACCACCAGCTGGGCTACATACCCTGCCATGGAGCAAACAAACCTCACTCACCACCATCACTAACCTCCTAGACCGTAGAGGTATAAACTACACTCGACTCCGCCTCTCCAGTCAAAATGAAAAAGCTAACTCTAGGAACCCTTCAAAGTGGAGGGCATACGGGCCGGGGCGCGCGCGCGGTACTCTGGGACTCGTAGTCTCGGGCCGACTCCGAGTTCCATGGTGCCGTGCGGCGGGTCGTCGCGTCTGCGCGGTGCGGGCGGCGGGCAGCGCAGAGTGAGAGGCTCTTTTGTTCGGCTGAGGGGAGGGCCGTCGGCCGGGCCTGCGGTACGCCGCTTCAGCTGGGCGCTCGGCTGCGGCCAAACGGCTTTTTGCTTCTCTGGTCGCAGCTCCCTGGGGCCGCTCGACGCCACGCGCGAGGAGCGCGGCACGGATTCCTCCCAGGCTCGCGGGCGCTGCTTCGAGGTGAAGAGGCGGGCTGGAGAGGCGGGCTGGGGGGAACGCGGCGACGGCGGGAGGCCCCGCGCCAGCGTGGGCCGCAAACGGAAGGCTGGAGGGCGAGGAGCTGGGGGGCGCGGCCCGGCCCCCCCCCCCCCCCGCGCCCTCCCGGGCCGCCTCCCGCGCGGGGCTCGCGGGCTGCCGGCGTGTGGGGAGGGCGGGGCAGCGGCTCCAGAGCTGGGGGAGCCCTGTGGCTCCCGGCGGCCAGCGCCTCCAGGGCTGGGCGAAGACACTCCTGGACTCGGGCGAGCAACTCTGGAGTCGGGCGGGAGAAGGCAAACTTGAGCACGTCGCTGAGGGAGCAGGCTCGCTGCCTGCGGGCGTGCGAGGCGGGGACCGTGACTTCCTACGTGAGGGGGTTGGAAGTGTAACCTGAGAAAGCGGACACGGTAGCCCTCGGAGGAAAGGTGAAAAAAAAAGTAAAGTGAGGGTCCCCAGGCCAGCTGCCACCGGCAGAGAAATCTCCCTCGCCGGAGTTGCGAAGTAGTAACTAACAGTGAACTTGGACAAGGGTGCGTTGGCTGCTTAAGGTGTGCCAACGGGAAAGAGATTTCGTTGGCCACATCCGCGGGCGAGGGGTCGGACATTTTCTTCACCTTGTCTAAAGGTTGCTAGGATAAGTAGCGTGGAAGTCCAGGGCGATCTGGTAAGAGGTGGAAAAGAAAAGGGGTGTCTGGGGATGTGGCTTAGTTGGCAGAGTGGTTTGCCTAGCTCGAGGCAAACCCCTGGACTCAGTCTCTAGTACCACATAAACTGGGCTGGGTGTGATGGAATCTTAGAACTCCGGAGATGGAAACAGGAGGATCAGAAGTTTAAGGCTTTCCTTGGCTACACGGAGAGTCAAGAAAGGTTGAAAAGGCCACTTTCTGCCTAGGAATGGGTCTTTAGTGTGAGTAAGGAGGCCATAACAATAAAATATATCCCAGGACTCGGGGGGCAGAGGCAGGCGAATGGATGTTTGTGAGTTCGAGGCCAGCCTGGTCTACGTAGTGAGTTCCAGGACAGTCAGGGCTGCACAGGTAAAACCCTGTCTTGAAAAACAAAATAAAAAAAACCCAAACAAACAAACAAAACGTATATAGGGCAAGGGAGACTGTAAGAATATCATGTATAAGGCAAGACTCATCAGATAAAAACTGTTTGCTCTTGCTGAGCAACCCTGGAAAACCTCAGTTTAACTCTTGGAATCCAGGTAAAGGTGGAAAGAAAGAAATGACTCCACAAAATTGTTCTCTGACCTACAAATGAAGGGTATGGCAGGCACACAATGCAGTAAAAATATTTTTGTCAAAAAGTAGTGTATGGGGCAGGAGAGATGGCTCAGAGGTTGAGAGCACTGGCTGTTCTTCCAAAGGTCCTGAGTTCAATTCCCAGCAGCCACATGGTGGCTCCCAACCATCTATAACGAGATCTGGTGCCCTCTTCTGGCCAGGCAGGCATAGATGCAGGCAGAACACTGTATACATAATAAACAAATCTTTAAAAAAATTAAGTAAAAAAAAAAAAAAAAGTAGTATATGAAATACGAACCCAAAATAAATAAAAATTGTGAGTGTACGCAATACTCTGTGTAGAGGTCAGAGAACAGTTCTGGGGAGTCATCTACCATGGATTCAGGGGATCAGGCACCTATCAGGCGCAATTGGCAAGCACTTTTACCTTTTCAGCCCTCTGAACAATTTTTTGGAATTAAAGACTATTTTAAAGGCTCTTGTAAACCATACCTAATTCTCCACTATTGGGACATAGTATGCCGTTCAGATTGTTGGTGAATAAGTGAATGGATGGATGAACAGAACTTACAGATGTTTTCTGACAACTTCATTTATTGGTCAACAATTTCTTAATGTACACTTAATATCTGTGATCTTTGGCAGAATAACACCGTTTTCTTTGGCATGCTTGTCATGTCCTCATTGTTTTGAGACAGGGTTTCTCTGTGTAGCCCTGGCTGTTCTGGAACTCAACCATTGTAGACCAGGCTGGTCCCTGTCTCCTGACTGCTGGGATTAAAGTCATGTGCCACCAGTGCCTGCCCATTTCCTCAGTTTGTTTTATTTTATTTATTTTATTTTATTTTATTTTTGGTCTTTAGAGACAGGGTTTCTCTGTATTGCTCTGGCTATCCCGGAACTCCCTTCATAGATCAGGCAGGCCTTGAACTGGAGATCTGCCTGCCTCTGTGACCAGAGAGCTGGGCATTAAAGTCTGTTTTTTCCAGACAGGATCTCATTCTAGTCCATGCTAGCATGGATCTTATCATATAGACCAGACTGTCTTCAAACTTGAGGTCACATTCCTCCCTCTCTCTCCTTCATGTACTATAGGCACATGCCACCATACACAGCTGTGAAATTATTCAACTTTACGCAAATGATGTTAAGGATTTTAAGAAGGTCAGAGCATAGCTCAGTGGCAGAGCACACCATGTTCCGAATGTCTTCTGTTTTTAATGGGCTTACTCAGGGGCTTTTGTTTTGTTTTGTTTTGCTTTGCTGTTTTGAAATAGGGTCTCAGTTTGTAGCCAGCCTGTCACGGAGTTATGTAGCAGCCCAGAGTGGCCTAGAACTCAGTGATTCTCCTGTCTCAGCCCTCCAAGTACTGGGATTACATGTTTGAGCCACTACCATATTTGGCTTCCTATGCTATTAAGTACAGAAAAGGTATGTGGAGGGTGTAGTTTACCATGTTTATTCTGGCCTCAAGTTCTAGATTTTAATAGTAAGCCATATGGTTTGAATTTTCATTTTATTTATGTCTTTATTGTTTTACTTTACATTTTGCGACACGGTGTGACTGTGTATCTCTGGCTGTTCTGGAACTTTATATATACATCAGGCTGGCCTAAAATTCACAGAAATCTGCCTGCCTCTGTCTCCCCAGTGCTGGAATTAAAGGCATGTACCAATACATCCAGCTATTTTTTTAGTTTTTAAAAGTGGGCATAAGGGATGTGCTATGACATGCTTATGGAAATCAAATTTAGTGTCATTCTCTTCTACTGTTATGCTACTTCTGTTGATTGAATAAATTCAGGTCATTAGGCTTGTGAATCTTAACACTTTCACTGGTTGAACCAGCTTGATACCCACATTTTTTAATGTGGGGGACTAGAAGTTGGTATGTTTGGATTTTGTCATCTATATCCCAAATTGGCTTTATTTTTATGTATGTATGTCTTTACTTTTTACAATGCTGAAGAATAGAATTCAGAGCCGCTTACATGCTAGACAAGCGCTCCACACTCAGCTGCATCCTAGTTTGGCAAGCTTTCTAGTGCTGAGCTACACTCCTAGCTCAGTTTGGGAAAATCTGTTGGCTAGGTTTTTGTTCCATTTTTCTGGTGGTGGTAGTGTACTGAATTGAACCCCCAAACCCATGTGCTCTGCCACTGAGCTGTGCTCTGACCTTCTTAAAATCCTTAACATCCTTTGTGTAAAGTTCAATAATTTCACAGCTGTGTATGGTGGCATGTGCCTATAGTACATCACTGAAGGAGGGGGGGGGGGAATGTGGCCTCGAGTTTGAAGACAGTCTGGTCTCTATGACAAGATCCATGCTAGCATGGACTAGAATGAGACCCTGTCTGTAAAAAAACAGGCTAGACCTTTGAGATGCCATGATGGCTATAGATGGAAACACTTCCCACTAAGCCTGACAACCTGTTTGTTCCCAGGACAGACAGTAGGAGGAATTGGCTCCTCAAAGCTGTCTTCCGTCCCTTTGCTCCCTGCTAAGATACTAAATCAATACAGGCGAGTGGCTGAGTCAGAGACACGACCAACCTAGGCTGCAGAGTTGAGACCCTGGCAAAGAAAAGGGGGCTGAGGAGCATGTGGGTTTGCAAGACTCTGGACTCAGTCTTCAGCAACCAATTCTGCACCCTTATCCATACTCTTAAAAAAAAATTCAAAAACCAAACTAGTACTCAGGTTTGATGTGACTGTGGCACAGGTTTCTGTTTTTCGTTCAGATTTTACGTCTGGAAAGCATTTGCTGCTTAAAACAGCCAAATAACAAGCCAACTAACAAGTTTAGAAATATGGCTGGCACCTTAGCATACTCTACTACAGGTGCCTTCACTTGTGTTTTGATTCCTGGTCTGTAGTTGCCAGTTAAGCAAAGCTACCTCATCTTTGTTTTCTGTTCAGGTTTTATTGATCAGATTCACAACCTAAAAACTGGCAGTTTTGTGCTTTTATTTCCCGTTTGATTTTTGAAACATCTTTCCTTATTGGGCATATAGTGTTCATGATTTTCATAGGGCTCATAATTCCAATTGAGTGTAAGAGGAAAAATAGAATGCTTTGGGGATTCCAAGGAAAGGAGAAATATTTGGCTAGGTTGAGTGAGCTTTATGAGGGAAGTACCATTTAAGCTAGGCCTTGAAGACATTTGACTGAATGAATACTGTAGAGGAGCAGGTTCTTACAACTTTAGGGAAGGCCTTCTAAGGAATGACATTTAAACTAAGGAAATAATAAGGGCATTATAGCACCTACCTGTAATTTCAACACTCAGGAGGCTGAGTAAAGGAGGTTGTTAGAGTTTGAACTCAGCCTACGCTAGAGTGAGACCCTGTCTGGAAAAAGAATAACCAGGCATTACAATTTATGCCTGTCATCTTAGTACTATAGTAGGCTGAGGTGAGAGGATCCCTATGAGTTTGAGGTTATATTACAGATTGAGTTCTAGTCAGCATAGGCTGAAATGAGACCTTGCCTAAAAAATTAAAAAAAAAAAAAGTGTTTGTTGGGAGATAGGTGTGAATGAATGCCTACACTCCCAGCATTTGAAAGGCTATCGCAGAATTGAGTTTAAAGTCATCTGCTATATAGCGAACCAACCACTGGATCCAGAACAAAGCCCATAAAGAAGCAAAGAGAAGGGAGTAGTAGAAGGCCATTGTCCATTTAATTGGTTACTGGATATAGGTTTTCAGGTAATTATCCTTCATTTAAAGATAG